TATATATATATGTATATATATATTTTTTAACTTTAAGATGATGGTCCTGGTAAAAACACTTCCTTTTCCTCACTACCCCTTTTATTACTTAGTATTATAATATTATTATTGCACAGTCAATTTTCTGAACATTGATGTGGCTAGGTCTACCACAGGTTGAATTTATTGCTCTTCAACCAGGTGGAGTTAACCAGGTACAAAAGGCAGCTAATAATTTAGCTAGCCATTCTCATACTATGTGAATACAGAGAGATTTTAGTTCAGTAGTGGATTATATCTGGCATTCTGCATTTCTGACAGGCTTCCCAGACAATCCAGATTCTACTGGTTTGTGAGCCAGTTTAAATATATTGGATTTAGATCTTAGTGAATATAGCAGGGTTAATTTTTTGAGTCTAATTTGAATGTACAGTCTTAGTTTATTGTAATGAAATATACCAAATTTGAACCTAAATTATATCTAATGTTATAAAATAGATAATGCAAATTTATTATTACTTGAATTATTATATCTAAGAAACTTAATTATCTTACAATGAAAGTCATTTACTTTCTTATATTAATGAAAAATTATATATATTATATTATATCAGAATCTTCATTTAACAGAGTAAGGAAGAAGAGAAAAATTTATATTAGTAAAATGGAAATCAGTATAAGATTTTGAAAATGATTTTAGGAACAACATTCTTCTTTTTTAATTTAGGAAATAACATCAAGATTTGTTATGAATCAGCTAGCTGCAAAGAATACTTTTCTAATGCATGCCGTAGAACAATATCCGGAGGTCAGGAACATAATCTCTGAGGGAAAAAACTGTGCAATATGTGGAAAATTCTTTTTAACCATATGGCTGGAATGTGTTCAGTTTGTTCCTCCATCAAAGGTAAATAGTGCTTCTTGGTGTGAATATGACCTAAGCCAACCCATACTGACTATGTAGACCGATATCTACGAATTGGCTTCTGTGATACTATACTGTTAATTTTGGATACACAAAAGTGAATAAGTAATATAATAAGCTGTAATGGTCATCACCTATTGCATTTACATTTAAACGCTTTCATTTATCAAACACATGCATTCAATAAAAATTCCAGGTAACCTGAAAAATTTTAATTTACAAATCCCTTTCATTCCTGAATCTTCTTAATAAATCCAGAGCTATGCTTCCTTAGGGAGAAGAGTACTCAGTAGTCTCTCATGAGCTTTGAGTTGAGAAAAAATGAATGTGCTACATCATAATAATGTAGTAAATGTTCTCAGTATAATAAGTGTGCTGAGATATGTGCCTGTGACACTATGTCCCCTAGCAGGTATCCCTTGGTCCACAAAGCTTGTAAAAGATGTTCTAGACCAGTGTTTAGATGACTTCTTTTTCTATACATGTCTAGATAATAAATATTTTAGGCAGTGTGGTCTCTGTCACAACTACAGAACACTCCTTTGTAGCATGAATACACCTGTAGACAATATGTACATAAATATGACTGTGTTGCAATGAAACTCTATTTACAAACCTTAAAACTTAATGTCATGAAATATTTTCCTTTTGCAAATAACCACTTTAAAATGCAAAACCATTCTTAGCTCACATGTTGTATGAAAACAGAATGTAAGTCTGATTAAATTGAGGTACATGGTTTGCCTATACCTGTTCTAGACTGTTCAGCACTGGTTCTTTTTTTTTTTTTTTTTTTGTACCAGGGATCAAGCTTGGGTCCTTGCGTTTGCAGGCAGGTGCCAGAACCACTGAGCTAAATCCCCAGGCCAGCGCTGGTTCTTAGCAGTATAGTTTCCTTTCTGCTTTTGGTGAGCTTTCGGCCTCTCTTGGTATAGTATAGGCCGATAGTTGGTGATAATAGTAAATAAATTAATAAAAGTAGATACAGTTCCTGCCATTTTAAAGATTTTCATATGGTGAAAGAGGGAAACATTAAGCAAATGAATGCATATGTAATTATAAATTATGATAAATATTATGATATAAAAGAATAGTGCATTTGTTTTGGGGGGCTGATGTAGCAGTACCACATATTGGATAGCTAAAACAACAGAAATTTATTGTCCGATAGTTCTGGAGTTTGGAAGTCTCACATCAAACTATTGGTAGAATTGATATCTTCCAAGGACTGCAAGGACTTCAAGGCCTCTCAGCTTGATTTGTAAATGGCCATCTTCTCCCTGTGACTCTTCCCACTGTCTTCCTTTCATGGGTATCTGTGTCCAAATTTTCCTTTTTTTTGAGGCAGGTTCTTTGTTTGTAATTAAGGTACTGAACTCAATATGTAGCCCACTCTGACCTCAAATTCACATTGATCCTCCTGCTTCCACCTGGGATTATAGGCATGCACCACTAGGCTGGCCTACTCAAATTTCCCTTTATGATAAGGATCCCAGTCATATTAAATTAGGGGCCATACTGATAACCTCATTTTATCTTAATTTCAAATATCTCCAAGCAGTATCTAAATCTTGTAGTTGTAAAGAATGAGGGCACCATTAGGCTCAAGTAGTATTTGTGCCAATAAAGGAACTGAATTGAATCTGCTTATACCTGTTTCAGTGGGTCTTATCACTAGCCACTAAGCAGATGTACCTAAGGAGCTTTCTAAGCATACAGATATCGCACCCCATATCTACTATTCAGAATGTGCTTTAGGTAGTACCCACTCATTCGTGTTTTTATGACACATCCTAGTTGATTTTAATGTATAGTCAGGGCTGAGAATCTCTGCACTTTCTGTCTAAGGCTGTCCGAGAGCCACAGGGCCATAAGCTATAACTTCCTAACTTTAGGGAGCAAAGCCTACTTGGTGACTTATACATAAGTGAAGAGTCAAAATCATTGGTTGAATATGTGAATTAATAAATAACCTTTAGTGACAAGGATAGGTTATAAATGATAGTGAAAAGAAAAGGAGGTGTCTGGAGGAGGGGTAAACCCACTGTGTAGAACAGACAGATGACAGGTGCCTACTTTGCCATGGCTCCCCTCTTTTCACTGGGGTGCATTCTCAACAAGATTGCTGTAGAGCATATTGAAGAGGTTTTCTCTCCATCAGTTTACTTCTTGGAATCCACGTGCTGAAGAGCTTTTGTGTATCCTGCTGGAAACAAAACAAAAGCTCCTACCTACAGGATTGCTGGATCCCTAAATATCTGTGAAGCATGACGAGTCCTTTTGAATCTTTTGCTTTCCCCAGGGTACCTTCTGTGAATGCTCATAATGAAATTTCACTGTTTATTTATTAGTTGTTTCATAGGTTTGATTTTCTAGTTGTTGGCTAAAATCATCACTACTTGTATTTCAGAGATACATTATTTTTTTGAAAACTAATAATTGTTGAAATTTCAAGAAATTCTCTGTCTGCTGACCATGAAGTTCAGTAAATTTTATTTTAAAAAATTGAAAGCAACAAAATTCTTTTATGAATGGTATGAGCAATGTTTATATATGCTTTACTCAGAGCCACTGATTTTTAATATTTGGTTCCACTGGCTTCATTGGTTATTTTTTGCCTTTAAAAATCCATCATGTCAACAATAAATTTGACAGTGACAAAAACCAAGAAAATGGCTTACAAAGAGATTATATCACTCTCCAAGATGAACATTTTAAAAAAATAGACTCTAATTAAAAATATATATAGGTAAGTAGATATCTGTGCACCATCCCAACTAGAAAGCTTTTATTAGGGTGCATTACTTATCACTCAATATTTATGGTCCAGAAAATAAGTGGGTTATTTTATATAGACTAACCAATTATTGGCTATAAAGTTCCCAGTATGTCCCTTACTGCTAAGAAAAAGAGCATACATTTTATAAGGATCACTTTAAATATGTCATTTATAATCTTGTAGAAAAACATCGAGGAACTGTCACTGGAATTCATATTACTTGATGTCAGGTATTTACCTGGGAATATTATTATGATCCCCAGAACAAGGAATGGGTGAGAGATCTCAGTGAGCTATAATTGTGGTACAAAGCATCCAAAATTTATCTTACAATGTGCTTTGCTTGAGTTTTTGTAACCAGCAAATATTTTCAAAAGCTATACAAGATAACCCACTTCTTTAATAATTTTCACTCATCACAAAAGAATAATAATAAAATAGTTAAGAAAGAATATGGATCTCATTCCTTATATACTGTATGTTAAAAATTCATACCATCACTATAATCCAGTTTGGCATTATGTTTGCAAAATAATTTATTGAAGAATTGGGATTTTAAAAAGAAGGCTAATTTTTCCTCTTGATTCAGTCATGAATAAATTATATTAGGCACATCTACTTGTAGTTAACGAATTTTGAAAGGAGAAACTTCTACTCAGAGAAAGCATTCTCAATCCAGTTACAAGTGTCATTGGCTCTTTCATAAAACTTTTCTATGAATAAGGAATAGTTATTTAGTGTTTTAAAACTCGGATAGTTTTGTTGTGGAAATGTGTTTGTTAGACTTAAGTCAGTGCTTATGCTAGAGAATTTTGAAGTCTTCATGACACTTAGCAAAGTTTGAATTTATTTGTTCACTTGCTGTTTGATGTTTTACTCTACCAATGAATCTAAGCTCAAGTAATTCAAGGACCATTTTTTGTTCACCATTGTATAGAGAGAGCTTATCACAGTGCCTATACAGTACATATTCTATTTTAATTCCATGACTGATGAATCAGAAGACCTGAACTTTAATAAACAGCTCCTTTTTTCCCTTTTTATTAGTGTATTACAAGTGTATTACATCAAGTGTATCTTAGAGAAAAATCTGGTAGAGCTGTTGCCGAGGGGTAATATCAAAGTTTTAAAAAAACCTCTACTTAGAACTAACCATACAGTAAAAGAGAATATTGAAATAATTGTTTAGTAGGAATTTAAAAGTCAAAACAAGCTGGACATTAAAAAATTAAGTGGAAAGCAAGAACATCAGTGGGAAAGTGAGGACAGAAATGTATGTTGTTCCTCTAGATGGGAGTAAATATATAATCTTCATCACATATGTAACCTATTTGTGAATTGTTCTCAACATCATCTGGAATAGATTGTTGTAGTCAAGAGACATTTAATGAGTACAGTGTGTCAGATTACTTGGCAAAAGTTGGCAAAACACTCTGCTTTCCACTGGCCATGTTTTGAACACCTTGGACAAGTTGCCATGATCATTTCTGCTCTGACAGATTCTTTCTCAAAATTATCTGATGAGCTGCTACTTTCATTTCAAGTCTCTCACACAGAAATTTCAACCTAATAAAAATAACCACCACCAACAGTTGTTTGGCTGTGAGTGTGTGTCTGATGCTGTGCTAGACATGTCACCTAGAATATGTCAGCTGATGTTCACAACAACTACAGGACTCTGATGAGAAATCCTAAGCACGGAGAAGTCAAGTAATTTTGCCTAGTTCACAAAGTTGCCAAATGGAGACTCTAGGGAGAAAACTTATACCTATGATTCTTTGTTCTTAATCAGATCTGCTGGACTACCTCTTCTACGCTTTTAAAAAATTTAAAAAAATTTTTTATTGAATTTATTGGTACATTCTAGGTGTACAGTACAGTTCCATTCATTACTGGGATCTTGTACCTTTACGTGACAGGTCTTGGTTCTCATTTATTCCCCTTGTCCCCACCCTCCCTCCCTGCACCCCCTCCTCCCCTCCCTACCTACCAACACTTTAATTCCATTTTTACATTTTCTCACTCCTCTATGCTTTTAAATCCAGTTATTCCTGAATTACTTCAATTGGATTTAAGATATTCAGGTTGAAAAGTCTTCTTCTGCCATGACTTATCCACTCAAACTCCTAGACAGTGGTTATCATAGTACATGTTTAATACGAGAGTCATAGAGTTGACACATAATAAGGAGAGTTTCACTTTAAGATTCAGGCTCTCACACAGGAAAGGGTAATTACATTCTTATCATAAGTACACATGGAAGTGGCCAGGTGCCATGAAAAGAAGGTATTTTAGTTAAACAGGATGTTGTTCAGTCTGTTTCTGGGTCCTGGTGTAGAGACTGTGTTTGCTGTGTAGAGAACACATAATAAAACTTAAAATTACTCTCAGAGGTACCGCTTAAAAACATTCTCTGAAGAATACAGAGGCGTTAACATAAGGAACCAATGGACAGTCATCAGAGCGAAGCACCTGCTTGTGCAAATCAACTGTTGTGTTAATGAATTGCGCAGTGTTCCTGGGAACTGGCTCAAGGTGAGGTGTGGGAGACCCGGTTGGAGAGAAGCAGTGTGAGACAAGAGTAGCTTGTATGTGAAGTTTGAATTCCATTTTGAAAGCTTCTATGTTTGTTTGCTTGCACAACAAACTACCACAGACTGGGGGACTTTTACAACAGAAATTCATTTTCTGAAGAACTGAAAGCTGGAAGTCTTAGATCAAGGTGTCCAAAGCATTCCCTAACTTGTAGAGGCTTGCTTTTCCATGTGTCTTACAATGTTCTTTCCTCAATGTGTTTTTGAGTTGAAATTACCCATTCTTATAAAGACATTAGTTGTATTAGAGCATATCATGAGTGACCTAATTTTAATCTGATTACTATTTTAAAGATTTTATCTCCTAATTCAGTCACATGGAGAGATACTGGGGGGTAAGACTTCAAAATAAGGAATTGTAGGTGACACAGTTCAGTCCATCCCTGTAGTTATTGAAGCTGTGCAACATCAAGAACAAATGTTTGTTTTGCAAAGAGAGGTTAGAACTCTTGATGTGGATTCAACGACTGCTTACATAAGTCAACGCTTGAAGCCATGGGAAGGGTGATTGACAAAGGAGACTTATTAGTGGGGAGAGAAGACCAGAAAGACAAAACCTTTAAGGACAACAATATTAATGGGGTAGGCAAAAGTAGGAGTTAGGAAAGGAGAATGAGAAAGAACTGGAGGGACAGAAGTGGCAAAGCCAGGTAGAAAGGGCACACATTGTGCAGCTGTAAAACACAGACATGCAACAAACAAGACTTTCTTGCTTTTACTTTTGCTGCACTAAGCTTCTAGAGTCACATTCTACTGGACAGTTTATTCTAGTTCATTGCAGGCTTACGTGGTGATTTTAGAATGTTTTCAGTTGTTTTAGATTTAATCTTGATTATTTAGGATTTCCTTCCTCTCGCCTTCTCAAGGTATTATTAAAATTTTGGAGCTCTTACATAGTGTCATGACACAGAATGTGGGAGTAGGACGTTCTGTCAATGTCCCCTGTTTCAGTGGGCACTTCTCAAGTATGTGATCACCCTTTCTAGATCTGAAATATAGTCCTAATTCCATTATGGTGTCTGCGGAGGGATCTAATTCCCATCGGTCTCTGCATTTCCCTCTATGTTCCTGTGTCTGCTTGTTCTGATATTGAAGTCCCTTTGGTTCTCTGGTCCTTTTACAACTGCCTCCATATACTCTCTGGGCATGAGAAATTTTGGCTGCTGCTTTCTTCAGATATAAGATATGAGATGATAGAGATTATTAAAGATTCCAAGATGAGAACAGAAGCAGGGATGGAAAACTGGAAGAGGAAAATGGTGTCCTTTGTGTCACAGCAGGAGTGCTACAGGAAGTTGAATTGATTAGAAGTCTGATAACACATATTGACTAATCTTCCATAAATGTTGAAGTAAAAGATAGGAAAGCTATAGCATGTTCTCTGGAAGGATGGGGACTGGAGGAAAGACTTTGAAATATGTGCAAGGATGTGGAAGGATAAGTAGATGAAGCTTAAAATTAGTGTGTGTTGTGAACCAAATTTGGAAGATTTTAATGCTTTAACTCTGTCCTAATACATTTAGGAATTATTAGGTAACAGCATGAAACTCATGTATTCCATCATATTAATTCATTGAATAAACCAAGCAGTTTTTGAAAGTTTTAAAAATCTAAAAAAATGGCTAGTGGTAGTGCTTTTCAACTTACAAAATGATTTGCACATATTTTTTTTTCCTTTTCAGTACCATTTTTGATGATTACTATATATAAGATACTCTGTTAGGCTCTTTAAATCCAAAACATAGTTTATGCCATTGAAGAGATCACAGACTTTTTAAAATACAGTGTTATCAGAAGGATGAGTACTAATGACCAAGAAATATGTGAAAAAATACTTACCATTCCTGGCTATTAGGAAATGCAAATTAAAACAGTATGGTCTGTCTTATACGAAAAAGCCAAATTATAAATAAAGGGAAAAATAAAAGACATAATAGGAAGTAGGGTAATAGATCTTTTCAAATAGGGAGATCAAGAGATGGAGGGAAGAGAAGGGGAGGGTGGAGAAAAGAATGAAATAAAGGAATTAAAATGTGTTACGTACATGTTGCAACTTTGCACAAGTAATGTAAACATTATGTTCTTCAAACATGTATTAATGAAATTTTAAAAATCCAGTGTTAAAAGCATCATAAGGTATATGTACCCTGCTATGGAGTCACAGACTGAATGAAGAACTACTTAGGAGGTTTAAGGGAAACTTTTCTCAGGAGATAAAATTTGAGTAACGTGACTTTTTGACCCTTATGTTAACTTGTGACTTGGTTTTCATCATCTCTCTTTACAGTTAAGTAAGGCTAAGCAAAGTCAAATAGTTTGTAAGTTTCAAATCTCTCAACTAATGTGATTTGGACTTCAGTTGACCTGATTCCCCATGATGTAACTTTCAGGTCTCATTTTTTATAGTACACACATTTTTATTTTGAACCATAAGAAAGTGTAAAAATAAATTCGGGTATTGGTTGGGATACAGTGGCTTCCCACAGTTGCCTTCATATATTTGAGAGACCATGATGTGAAAGAGAGATAAGGCTTTTCTTTTGTTGACTTGAAGAGTGGACTGTCTTGGTATTCAGGCCAGAAAGATGGAAACATTTTCTTACAGGAATCAAACACACACACACACACACACACACACACACACACACACACTCTGGTTAACATTAGTTATCACTGAAGAAATAACAAATATATAATAAAGAATAGAAGTAAAATAACTTAGTATCTATATAATTTCACTTTACAAATTAAAAAGGAATTTAGAATTCGATTTTTCAAATAAATATGCCTGAGGATATTATAGAAATAGCAGGAAGGCATGAAACTGTAACGGGTTTATAACATAATGATTAAAAAAATAGAGATCTGCATGTATATTCTGGCTAATGGCTGAGTATGCTCAAATATTGAAAAAAAGACAAGATCTCCCAGCATGTTGAGTGAAAAGGAAAATAAAGAACAAATTCACATATAAGCACATTTTGGGAAAACTGCACACCACTAAAGATGAACTGTTAAGAGCTAAGGATAAAATGTGAAGGAAGAAAATGAAAGAAGTGACGACAATGGACTAAACACAGATTTCTCATTAGCAGTAGTCGATGTCAGAAAAAAATATAATGCCTTCAAAGCACAAAGGAAAATAGGTCAAAATCTAGAGTTATATGGCTAGATATCTGATGGGAAAAGACGTGGGAATATCAGATAATTTGTGAGAATAAAAACTTAGAATTGTTTTGGTCTGAATCAACTACTGACTCTAATCCTATTAAAATTTAAGAAGTTAAGGTAGTAAATATTTACTAAGTATATGATAGTGGGAAAAGTATGACAATAGAATCAGAATAAGTAATATGAATTAATTATCATAAACAAATTTAAGGATGTTTTAAATCGTTAAAATTGATGAAAATGAGATTTCATTACCAGGTAAGGAATAATTGAAATATGCTTTTTTAAGTGGTTAGTTCTTTTTATTTTACAAAGTAAAAACGTATGCAAATTAATTACATGGGATGGTAATCAGATTAACCATATTGGTAAACAGTTGTTTTTGTGTATCATCAGTGTTTCATACTGCTTTTTACTTATGCAGTCAGAGATTATGCAAAAACTAATTTGTCTAGAAGCTTCCCTTTCCGTTAAAGAAATTTCCTCTTCTCAGTCATCTTGTCCGGAACTAAACTAAATGCTGACCTTTGTGAGTAACACTTTGCTGCAGAGGGAGCCATATGATAATGCCAGCACCTGGCTGTTCCTGTGGTGCTTTGCAGAGCGTTCTGCCTCCAGCAGGGTTTGTACTTACATGAGGGGGGCACTGGATGATAGATGGGACTTTATTCTTGACATAAAACAGAGTTTTATGAATATCAATCAAATTGCAATGGCTTCTATTGTGATGAATGCGAAATTATGTCACCCTTGCTTTCTAAACTAGGGAGACAGTTGGAAAACAGCTGAAAAATGTTATTTGCTTTCCAGTGTTAATCTTTACCATAATTCATCTGAATGCTTTCACTTTTATCAAATGTTACAGCTGTCCTGAGTTGTTAGCTCTTAACAATTACAGAATTATTAACAATTCCAATGCAATTGATATTTCAGTATTAACTACTGAGAATATAAATCTTTAAAACAGAAACAAAAATTAATCCTTTTCAGTTACTACTAACTTGGGCCACATTTGAAATAGTAATCTAAATAGTCTCATAAAATCTTTTCCAAACACTTAGTAATCCTATCCCAAGATATTCACCTGATAGTTTTCATTTCTTATAGTTTCATTAGTTGAAATTAACATTTCCCCAGATTCTTTTTAAAGTTGAAGAGTAAGGTAGGAATAGTTTGGAACAAGAACTCTGAACTCTGTATTGAATGATGTAATGGAATTAAAATTACTCTCAAAAGAGATTAGACTGAGTGGGTCTCGCTACAAATGAGTGAAATGCTCATCTATCTTATAAAAATAAATGAAAATTTGTAACCTTAATTTCTTTTTTATGACACTCTGCTAGTAATGAAACGTAAAATTATATTTAATAATTTTACTCATTACTTATAGAGAAAAATCTTACTTTGCTGTAAAAAGTTATTATTGTTAAGATACCACTAACATTCATTTATGAAACTGATCATTTCAACCAGTCAGCTGTGAAAATTAATGTAGGTTTTTAAACATTTATGCAGCATTTAGTCAATTTAATGTACATTAGGCACTATGCAGATCAGAAGGCATCACATTTTGAATACTAAACGATCATGAAAGTAATATGTATTTATTGTTCAGAAAAATTGAAATAGTATTCTGTGTTTCTTAGTATTTCATTCAGAACACAGTAAAAAGGAACAGTATAATGAACTCACATACCGTTTTGATTACTTCTATTTCTGTAAGAGCTCCCTGAACCCTCTTCCCTTCAGAGAACTCTTTTATTGTTAAAC